CCTGTACTAGCACCTCCTCTCGTTCCTTTCACCAACACATCATGCATCAAGAAACTGTTGTTCCCAGCCCCCTTTGTTTCATCAGCTTATGCTCATTCACATGGCTTCCCAATGGAAACAATGGCCCTGTACTAGCACCTCCTCTCGTTCCTTTCACCAACACATCATGCATCAAGAAACTGTTGTTCCCAGCCCCCTTTGTTTCATCAGCTTATGCTCATTGATTCAGGGAAACTCATAATGTAATTATGTCACATCACATATTTAAGACACTTACCCCCACCCCTTTTTCTCTCATTAGATTGAAAAAGCTGCTTACAGGAAACAGGGACTTACAATAGAATCATAAACAAATAATACTTGTTTTATGTATTGTTACATTGACGTAAGAACCACACACACAATCCAATCAGCGGCAGTACAAAACCAAAGCATCAATACAAAAAAAAACCCCATCACCTCATTCCAAAGGCCCTCCAGAACAAATAAGTGTTAACAAGACTACTGAAAAGCCAGGAAGAAAGGGGCTGAATGAACTTCAGGAGACAAAAAATTCCACAGTCTGAGGGGGGCAGTTAAGGAAGCCCTAACCTCACCTCTAATGAGGCAAGCTCACAAAACAAGATACTACCAGCCAATGTTCCCTCTAAGCTGTGGAATCTTGTGAGCAAAAGTTCTACTTTGTGAGCTACGGGCATTAAAGTTGTGAGAGAGCAATTTGGCTACTGCATAAATTATTTGCTCTGGAGACATCCTTCCTGAGCCAAGACAAATATGTGTGAGCCAGAGGCTAAAAAACTGTGAGCTGGCTCACACTAACTCAGCTTAAAGGGAACACTGCTACCAGCTAGTCTCAAGCACAGTCAGTCACATTTATTTATTCAGCATAGTCATATGGGTGGAGAGAGTTCTTTCAGGTACTGTGATCACAAATCATTTTGGCTTTAAACATAAAAGCCAGCACTTTAAATTGGGAGTCACTGCAGTTGCAGTTGACCCAATACTGACCTCATCAACAGGGGGGTGGGGGTGGGTGACTCACCAAAGTTTATACCAACTGAAAGTTCCACTCTTCAAAGGCATCGCCATGTACAGCATATTACAAAAGTCCAATCTGGACATTACTGGGCCATGTATTTTGTCTGATTATTAAAAGGCAAAAGAGGTAAATGGGAAGCTATTGCTGTAGGCCAATGGGCTTCAACCCATGCACCAGAACCCTCAGGCAGTTTTGGAGTCCCACCTTATAAACCTCTTATAGAGTTGCCAATATTGTTGTGTGTTTTTTTTTTAAAAAAGATCCAATGCTGATCTATCTGCATAAAGAATGCTAAAGGGCCATGGCTCAGAGCATACAGAAGGTCTCAGGTTCAACCCCTGTCATTTCCAGTTAAAAGGACAAGGTAGGAGGTGATGTGTAAGACCTCCACCTGAGACCCTTTAGAACTGCTGTCAGTCTGAATACACAATAATGAACATGATGGACTGATGGTCCGATTCAGTATAAGGCAGCTTCATGTGTGTTCATGTGATATCATGTATCTTGCTTCTTTTTGCACACACGACTTAGAGAAGCAGCCAGGTAGCAAGGCAAGTTCACTCAATGGTGGAAAGGATTCTTTTTTTGAAAAGGTAGGTTCAAAGGCCCTGTTTCCACCAAAGCAATTCCGGGCCTTCTCTCTCTTCCCTCAGCCTGGCCACCCGCCAGTCCTCCATGGACACTTTCAGCATGGAGTTCCCTTTCAGCATGGAGCCAGTTTGGTGTAGTGGTTAAGTGCACGGACTCTAATCTGGGCGCACCCTCCTCCACTTGCACCTGGCTGGATGGCCTTGGGCAAGCCGTAGTTCTGATAAGAGCTGTTCTTGAAAAAGAGCAGTTTCTGTCAGAGCTCTCTCAGCCCCACCTACCTCACAGGGTGTCTGCTGTGGGGAGGGGAAGGGAAAGGAGTTTGTAAGCCGCTCTGAGACACCTTTGGGTAGTGAAGGGCGGGGTATAAATCCAATCTCTTCTTCTTCTTCTTCTTCCCCATCAATGAAGTCACAACTCTGGCTCCCCCTCTGATGTCACAAGGTTGGTAGCTGGATGGGTCCAATGCTGCTGCCTGCACATTAAAGGTGGGTCCTGGGCAGTGTTCCCTCTAAGCTGAGTCAGTGTGAGCTAGCTCACAGTTTTTAAGCATCCAGCTCACAAGGTTTTGTCTTAGCTCAGAAAGGATGGCTCCAGAGCAAATTAATTTATGCAGTAGCCAAATTGCTCACTCACAACTTTAATGCTAGTAGATCACAAAGTATAATTTTTGCTCACAAGACTCCACAGCTTAGAGGAAGCATTGGTCCTGTGTATGGAAAAGCTGAAGACCAATGCTTTAAGGCATAGGCATTTGTTGACTTTGATATATATTCTGGTCAGTCTACTGGTCAGTCCACTCTATGGAATTCTTTTGTATATCCAAACAACAACAAAAACAGCTCATATGCACATGTCTAACAGATACGTATGCACAAGACATACAGAGGAAATCCAACCCTATTCTGAGGCAGTATATTTTAGATGGCAGGTTTTTCAAGTTATTTCATTATGCTTTTACAAAAGAGTGAGATACTATTTGAATTTTCCATCTCAGACCCAAGTGTCATTGGCCAGCCCAGGTGGCACACATACAATAGACAGAATCTATTTCAATTCTACACGCACTATAGAAATAAGACAAAGACTTCAGCTATCTGACAGAAATACATATGCTGACCCCAGGTCCAAATAAATAATTATGTGTATGCCCACAAACCAAGCTTATTTCGTTCTAGTCCCTGTTTCCCAGAGTGGCCAGGCAAATGTTTCGAGGAAGCCAATCAAACGGGGCTGGCCACAACCCTCCCGTTTCCAATTACCCAAACAACTGGTAGTGAATACAAAATGCTGCTCAACACAGAAGTTCTATTTAGCCATAACAATCATTGACAGAGCTGTCCATTCATGAAGTTGGTCTTTCAGAAACCATTTAAGCCAGTGGGCTGATGCAACTGAAAGAAGCAGATTACATAACTTGATTATGAATTGTGCCATATAGAATTTCCTTTCATCTGACCTGAACATCCAGTGCTAAATCAGTTTGACTGGGGTGAAGTTGTATGCATTTATATTCTTTGCATCATGCATTACTTGACAGAACTATGAAGTATAACCTTATGTGTGTGAAAAGATATTTCAACAAGCACAGCTTTCTGTTGGGTGTTACAAGTCAAAACACTTCAGTATTTACAGGGTTAATTATGTTTGTTATGATCAACAGGAAGTCACATGTTTGTTTGTAACCAATCTGTTTAGACAATAGAATGCCCGGGAACTTTGGAGCTAACTTGCTAGTCTGATTGGAAACCAATGTGTCAAGTATTTGGCATATTGGCTTCTCTTTCCTCTCTTTGCTCTGACTGAGAAGGAGACACCATTCTCTTCCCGTTTTAGTTTTTAGCTGTAAGGATGTAGCCATATTAGCTCTTTGTTATTTTATATCCTGTGCAATGTTTCCTCTAAACTGTAGTGTCCGACAATAGAATGCCCGGGAACTTTGGAGCTAACTTGCTAGTCTGATTGGAAACCAATGTGTCAAGTATTTGGCATTTTGGCTTCTCTTTCCTCTCTTTGTTCTGACTGAGAAGGAGACGCCATTCCCTTCCCGTTTTACTTTTTAGCTGTAAGGATGTAGCCATATTAGCTCTTTGTTATTTTATATTCTGTGTAGCTTTTTCCATATTAGGTTTATAGTAAACTTTTATATTTTAAAACACACCATGGACTCAGTCTCTTAATACTCTGCTGACTTACTTAAAAAGAATCCCAACACTTTCTCTGCCGCTCATTAATCAAGATGCACCTGTCAAAATGCCCTCATCTTCTCTCTACTGAAGATTCAACAACTGCCCCTGCTCTCTTTTGGTCAGTTTATAAGGCTTCCACAGAGATATACTGCAGTCCTTTGCATAATAACTCCAGCCTAAACCCATAGTCTTCAATGGCAGGCTTTAAACTGAAGTTACTCTACACAGGATAATTCCAGAGGAGCAGTCGTATTAGTCTGTTGCAGCAAAATCAAACAGAAGTCTAGTGGGACCTTTCTGGAATAAGTTCTTTCAGGTGCCAATAGACTTCTGTATATGAATGCAGGCTAAATTTTCTCTCTCATATTCATAACCTGTATCTGATTATTTCCCATTGTAGACATATGCCCAATTTAATGGTTTTCTATTTCTACATATTCCTACCCATTGAAAATATAACTCCTAGAGTGCAGAAAACACTAAACCACAAAATCGGTCTTTTGCCTATGGAAGGCAATAAACAAGCTCTTTTTCCCTTTCGCTGTCCACTTGCAGCTTTCTTATAGCGACCCAATAGAGTCTTCCAGGCGAGAGACTGAGAGGGTTTGCCGTTGCCTGCCTCTTCACAGAGATCCTGACTTCCCTGGTGGTCTCTCACTCCAAGTACTAACCATGGCCAAACCTGCTTAGCTTCTGAAGGCTGATGACAATAAGTTAGCCTGCGCTATCCAGTTGAAGGTAACTGGCACACTAGTCCACGAAAACTTCATACCCCAACAAAATCTTCCGGTCTGGATGCACAGATGGCCACCCGAAGATCACCAGTGACAGGTAAGCAACCTGTCTTTCCTTTACCTGCGGTGGGTGTTTCTCTGCTTTTCACAACTGACCCACACGGCTTAATCCTCTCTGCAATTTCCCCCTCTCTCACCCAGAACACAGTCGTGTACAGTAGAGCTGCTCATGCAGCAAGTCCCAAACAGGTTCGTGCCGAAACCAGCCTGTACAGGCAAAACCTAAACGCCACTGCTCTTTTCCTTCACCCGTCTGAAAGCGTGGACCGGGCCCCTTGCACACATCCCCCCTGGCCCCACTCCGGCTTCCCTGCTTCTTGAGCCCCCAAGGTCAGCCTGTACCCAGAACCGTCTCCCACCCGCATGACAGGGTCACAAAGCCGTGCCTACCGCCCTGGCTCTCCTTTGGGGTCCGTCTCTTCAACTCTGGCGGGGAAGACGTCGACCTCCCTTCAGCTAGGTGCTCTCATTGGGGAGCCGGCGAAGCTCCCCGCCGGCGGCTCTTGTCAAATCTCGTCGGCCTCAAAACCCAGCCTACGGTTCCCATCACCGTCCTCCTGTGAACTTCCCCAAGTCTCCGTAAAGAATCCCCCCCGCCCGGTCTTATCTCTAGGCTGTAGAAATCGTTTGAGGGTGGAGCGGAACAGGCCCGGCGAGGCTGCGCGTGCGTGCGTCGAGCCCGCCCTTTTTCCGCTGCGGGCCCTAGTGCTTAACGGGTTTGGTTCTCTGTCTCCTCGGAGCGCGGTGCTGCTGCAGGGCGCGGTTCTCGACCGGTCTGTGGAGACGACGGGACTCCCTCCCGTACAAAAAGATCGCCCCGTTAGTCTATTAGAACACAATAAAAGCCGCCCCGGCACAATACGTTCATAAAGAAAAGCTGAAAATGGCAAGCTAGCTAGCTTTTGCGTTTCAGAGCACCAATCCTCAGACTGAGAGACGAGAAAATGGTAAAAGGACAGCCACGGAGCGTAGGGCCGCATGCGATACGAGTCGGGAATTTAATTGCTTAAACCCAAAGGTCTTCGCCAGGTCATATAAAAGTTACAACAATGGCACAAAGCGTTAACCCCACCCGCAGAAATTCGCCTGTGCGCCGCATGAAACGATCTTATGGTGGAAGCTCGTTCAGGAAGCTCATTGCAGACTGCGCTAAATACAAACGACTACTTCAAGCTTTTTTATTTTTTAGACAGAAGGGAGAGCGATCATTCTTTATCCCGGTAAGATCAATTGCAATTAGCACAAGTCAACTTACTCTGCAAACCTGTCAGATCGTTCGGCGTATTCGGTGTTCAACTTCAGCTTTTCCTTACCTATCAAATTAAACCATTTTACTTTTCTTCTGGTCTGCTAACGACAACCGCAAACACCTTAAAAACAGACAAAAAGCAGCGTTTCAAAAGAAAAGGAACAGACTTAAGATCCAAGAAGAACCTGTCAAGATACTAACAACTAGTTAATTGAGTGGATACTTCTTGTAGCACAGTGACATCTACTGGATATACTGTGCAAACTTTGTTCTTAGATTCCCGTGAGGAAGCTGTGCAGGTCTGAAGCAGCACAACAAAGTTTGAGTCTAGTGGCACCTTTAAGACCAACAAAGGTTGCGGTCACACCTGCGAGATAACGTGGGGGGGAAGCGAGGCTATTTCCTCCATAGGAATTTGACCCGCATTTGCAGGATCACACAGTCCTGGGAGCTGCAGGGGCAGCCCGCCACTGCGTGATCAGACGCAACCACCGGTGAATTGAGTTTTTTTGCCACGTGTCCGATGCACTTCAACGGGGGATTGATAACTCACATCTCCACACTGAGTGCTCCCTATGCAGTGTGTGATGATGTGCGTACCGAAACGGGAAAAACAACGACATGGAGTCGGGATGGCCCCATCAGACCATCCCGCCATGAGAGCACGCTGGGCACGATCACACAGGGGAAAGTCCATTCCTGGCCCATAGCAAACCTATTTGCTATGGACTTTCCACGGTGTCTTTTTACTCTGCTTCTGCGGCGGAGCAAAACGGGTTGCTGATGGGTGCGGGGCGCTTCCCAGATGTTTGCGTCTGATTGTGCCCTTTTAATCCGCCCGGCATTCACACCTATGGCGTGGCTAATTGTGCATGTGATCGTGACCCAAGCAATGCTCCCTCTAAGCTGTGGAGTCTTGTGAGCAAAAATTCTACTTTGTGAGCTACTGGCATCAAAGTTGTGAGCAAGCAGTTTGGCTCCTGCATAAAACAGTTTGCTCTGGAGCCCTCCTTCCTGAGCGAAGACAAAAATGTGTGAGCTGGAGGCTAAAAATCTGTGAGCTAGCTCAGACTAACTCATTTTAGAGGGAACACTGGACCCAAGTTTTATTCATGGTATGAACTTTTGTGTGCAAGCAAAACTTCCTCAGATTCAGTGGGACAGAACCTCCTCAACCATTACATATAGGGGTGGGTGGGGGTTGTTGTCAGGAAGGGCAGCTTTGATATGGTCAGAACTGGCTGATATCTCCATTGTGTGCTTTCAACAACCTTTGAGATACTGTGAGATTCTGATGGCTCAGTGATGTACATCATGCTTTGCATGCAGAAACTCCTGGGTTCAGTTACTGTTGTCTCTTCAGGAGGGTGGCAGGATTCCAAAGACCCATGCCTCAGGTAGTGGTGCTGGTCAATGCGGGTGACAAGTTGCTGGTGCTGCTGAATCTGTTGGTGCTGCTGATGTGTGTGTTGTGAATTTATTTGTTCATGTTATTTATAGTCCACTTTATCATTGAGACACAGGTGGATTAAGTCAGTACAACTCACAGAACAGGGCATCCAATATGATTTGGGTTTCAGAAATCAGAAACAAGCTAGAAATCTGAAACAAACCATAAGCATTAACACAACATGTTAAGTGATGCAGAAATTACACAGCAGCAGCATACTTAACAGCAATAGCCAGTACATACTTATACACCAGGGGTCCCCAGCCTTCTTGAGCCGGTGGAATTCTGACACA